ACTACACTTCAAGTTGGGGCAGCTTTGTAAGCAGCTTCACACGCCCTGAAATTTCTGGCTGGCAGAGATGCCAGCTAAACCAGATGGCATTGAGCAGTGAAAGGCTGGTCTGGCTTTCAGACGTGCTAGACTCCTTACATCTGCCTTTGGTTTACTGGTTTCCACAGCCATTTCTTTCTTGGGTTAACCCAACTTGATCCATTCTTTAGCAAAAGTCTTTCAGTTTGCTTGTCTACGATATCCATTGTATTTCTTTGTCCACCAGCTAGACTTTTATTTCAACTCCAGTGCAGTCTTCAAAAAGCTTTTTGAAAAATGTGTATAATGAGGCAATGATGTAGATATTTCTTTCTTTCTTTTTATCTTTTTTTTTTTTTTTTCAGAGAGATTTTTGTGGGGACCAGTGGGTGGAGTGGTGGTTAAGGTGCTGGGCACTCCCACATGGCCGACCAGGGTTCAAGTCCTGAATCTGGTGGCTTGCTTTCTCACTTCCTCTCTTTCTCACTGTCACCCTCTGTCTCTCTCTGGTCAAACTAAAAAATAAGTGAATGAATAAATAAAATAAAATAAATAATTATTTAAAAATAAAAAAGAGAGAGATTTTTGCTATAGGGCATATGCCCTCACTGGAAACACAGGGAGACAGAGACAGAAAGCCAGAAAATCATCCCCTAGGGGTATGGCCATGCCACAATCCCTTTTCCTCCCTTCTCCTCTTGGGATCTTGGGCACGCACATACCTATACTTGGCGTGAGTTTTAAGACACCAGGTCTGGGACTAGAACTGTGGTTAACTGCGAAGGAGTCCAGCAATATAACCATTATGCCATCTGCTGGTCCCCAATGATGTAGATATTTCAAAAAAAATTTTTTTTTTTTGAGAGGTTTTTCGCTATAGGGCGCGTGTGCTCGCCAGACAGAGAGAGACATAGAGACAGAAAGCGAGAAATCACCCCCCAGGGGGGATGGTCACGCTGCAATCCCTTCTCCTCCATTCTCCTCTCGGGATCTTGGGCACGCACGCACACGCGCCTGGCGTGAGTTTTAAGCCACCGGGTCCGGGGCACGAACCACGGTGGACTACGTGGGAATCCAGCGACACAGCCATTATGCTAACTGCTGGTTCCCCCCAAAATTTCTGCATTATAATAAACTTGTACTTTAATTCCATTTTCCATAAACTTTTTAAAAGTCCCTTTGTATATGCCTTGACATGGTGTAACTATAATGATGTAGAGTTCCATAATCAGTTGTCTTAATTCTGGGTCATACCAGGTATTTCTACTTACATTACAATACTAAAGCGACTGGAAAGCCTTCTTTTCCCCCATTTTTATAATTAAATTGGAAGGACTGTGACTTTACAAGGGGAAAGGCGGATTAAATCTCAGGAGGCCTTCAGAGCCATTCCTGGGCTGTCTTTTAGAACTCTCACATGTGTGGGGACCAGCATATGGTGTAATGGTTATATCACTGGACTCCCACATAGTTTACTATGGTTCAAGTCCTGGAATCGGTGGTTTAAACCTACTCCGGGCACGGGTGTGTGCATGCCCAAGATCCCAAGAAGAGAATAGAGAAGGGATTGCAATGTAGCCATTTCCCCTGGAGGGTGATTTCTTGCTTTCCGCCTTTCTGTCTCTCTCTGTTTCTGTGGCAAGCACATGTACCTTATGATAAAAATAAATCTCTCTCGCAGGAAACAAACAAACAAAAACAAACAAACAAACAAACAAAACCAAAACAAACAAACAAAAAACACAAAAAACTCTCACATGTGTGACTATGGTTTGAATCCCGGACCTGGTGGCATGAAAAATCATACAGAGCGCATGCGTGCATGCCCATAATCCTGAGAGGAGAATAGAGGAGAAGGGATTGTTGCATGGCCACCCTCTGGGGGATGATTTCTTACTCTCCCTTTCACTGTTTCTCTGTCTCACACACACTCTCTCTCTCTCTGGCAAGTGCACGTGCCCTATGGCAAAAACCTAAACAAACAATCAAATAACACCCTATCTACTCTTGTACTTTACAGAAGTGTTTTCTCCTTCCAACAAGTGCCTGCTCATCTATGATTAATAGGGTTGCGATGCCACAGTATAACATGTTCCCATTTATCTGTGCCAGATTGTTCTGGCCTTAGACCCAATGAGCGCTAATCAGCATGATGTCTAGGTTACTGAAATTGTACTGAAGTAAATGTAAATGTACCTAAAACTAAAATCAGTTTTACAAAGTGCAAGTTTTATAATGAAAGCTACCTCTAAAGGGTCAGTGGCGACAAGTGGATGTCTTCCTTCGGCCCGGTCTTTGCAAATAATGGGGTACATTCTCTCTGTCTCTCTCTCAATACACAGTGATTGGCAGAATTTATCACTTTTAGTTTAAGTAGGAAGAGAACATGCAAGGGCCTGGTGCTTGGGGGTTGGATCTCCTCGTTTCTTCTGAAGACTCTCTCACAGCCTGCAGCAAGGGTCTTGGGAAATTTCTGTTTTCATCTGTCCTGTGAAGGTGAAGCTGAATAGTGTCAGGGGACCCATGGACAGCTATTGCTTGACAAGGTGTAGCTACAAAATGGATTCACATTTGGAGATGCATTGTCATTGCTTTAAGCTACTTTTAAATGGGAGTATTATTACATTACTTTTGACTTAAATATGCCAGAGGCTAAGTGATATGACCTTTAAGGTGTTTGGCAGAGGTTAATACTATCCTTGTTTGAGTTATCTTTCTGGCGATTATCTTCCATGTCTTCCAAGAAACATAATCCCTTAGAAGCAAGGAGTGCAGGAAACCAGCAGTTAGCGTAATGGCTATATCACTGGACTCCCACATAGTCGACTGCGGTTCGCGTCCCGGACCCGGTGGCTTAAAACTCATGCTGGTCGCGTGTGCGTGCGTTCCCAAGATCCCGAGAGGAGAATGGAGGAGAAGGGATTGTGGTGTGGCCATCCCCCCTGGGGGGTGATTTCTCGCTTTCTGTCTCTATGTCTCTCTCTGTCTGTCTGGTGAGTGTACGTGCCCTATAGCAAAAACCTCTCCAAAAAAAATAAAGAAAGAAAGAAAGAAAAAAAAGAAGCAAGGAGTGCCTTGTGTACTCTTTTTATTCTGTAAGTGGGTGAACTGTACTATGGGTGAGTCAGGAGATGATTCTTCTTTCTGCATATCACCTCCTCTAGTTCAAAAGGAATATCAATCCTTTTTAAATTTTTTAAGAGAGATTTTTGCTATAGGGCACATGTGCTCACCAGAGAGACAGAAAGCAAGATATCACCCCCTGGGGGAGATGGCCAAGCTGCAATCCCTTCTCCATTTTCCTCTTGGGATTTTGGGCACACATGCACATATGCCTGGTGTGAGTTTTAAGCTGCTGGGTCTGGGACTCAAACTGCAGTCAACCACATGGGAGTCCAGCAATGTAACCATTATGCCATCTCCTCAATCAGGCTTTTGTTTGTTTGTTTTCATTTTTTTTTTAAATTTGCTACATGGTACATGTGCAAGAGAGAGAGAGAGAAAGCACTCCCCAGACCCCCCCCACCCCCACCCCCCAGGGGGGACGACCATGTAATGTCTTCTCCATTCTCCTTTGAGATTTTGGACATGCACACATGTGTGTCTGGTGCGTTTTTCAAGCCACTGGGTACAAGACTCAGACCATGCAGCTGGCCATGTGGGATTCAGCCACCTTAACACCATACCACCTGGCTGGCTCCATTAGTTGAATGGAGCCAATATTTTTCTTCACTTTATTATAATTTCAAACAATTTTAAAAAAAGAGTTTATCTTAGAGAATAGCTGAGAGAGAGAGAGAGAGAACCGTTCTCAATAGGGTCTCAGACCATGAACTCCTTCCCTCCCGCAGCCTTTCCCAGCCAGATAGGATCATGGACACACACACGTGCACACTCAGTATATACAGGTCAATCCTGCAACTCAACTCTAATCTTCCATATGGCTTCTAGTACTACAGAAAGGTTGTACTGCTGTGCCACCATGGCTGGGCCTACCTTTGGTTTTTTAGTTATTCTTCAAGTTTATGTTTTGTCTTATCCTCATAGTCACAGGCACTGGGGTAGGGGTTGAAAATTCATAGCTGATTCACCTTCAGAGCCAGAGTTCTGCAGGGAAATTTGGAAGTTCCGCTCACAAAGTACTGTCCTCTACCACCAGGGTTGGGTCAGCAGTATATTCTTGAAGAGAGTTGAGGGTGACCTGGATATTTTAGGCTATGTTTCTGCCAGATTTCCTGGGATCCTTCTGAGAACTGCTTGTTTTGATCCTGTTACAGCAGCCTGTTGCCAATCAGGCAGTTTAAGTGCTTGCTCAGGAGGTCTTTCAGGCAGCTGAGATGAAGTTGCCATGACTCTCTGGGCTTGGCTCTCCTGTAACAAAACCATGGTTTCTGCCTCAGGTGGGGAGTGTTGCCTGGGGAGTGTATTGGAAAGAAATGCTCTGCGTAGACTGAGCTTGTAACCCACTGTAACTCAGAACAAGTTTCTGGTTGTCTGTTAGTGGTGGTTTGTTGTAAGAGTGGAGGGCAAAACCATCAACGCCTGTGATACTCAGAGTCATCCTGAGCCGAACCAATGCTTGTATTTTTCACTAACATGTTCTGTCTCGCTGAAGTTGTTCTGGTCAACTCATGAGCACTTGTTAAAGCATTTTACTGTATATCATTATTATTTGGTTTTGGCTAATGTGGGAGTATCGGAAGAAAAGCCATCATTCTTGATTGGAGAACTACCAGCCTGAATATTTGAGGATTCCAGTATTTGCTTACAAAATTTTAGTCAGGATGATTAAACTCTGTCTTCTTCTATGTATATAGAAAATGAGCAAAATAGTCTTCTATGATGTGTCTGTTTGTAGCTGAAGTGATGAAAATAACTGAAGCAACATATTCTGATGGTTCAGCTATGTGAGTCTAAGGATGGGCCATGATCATGATGGAAAGGGCTGTATTGTGAAGAATCATTTTGTTCTTATGCTTTAGATGATACACCTCCTGAAGAGTCCATTCCTTTGGCCTTTCCAGAATTAGACCAGCAACTACAGGTAAGGATTTTTCTCAAGTCCCTTTTCTTCCCTCCTTTATGTCACAAAAGTATTGTGGGCTGGAGAGGGGTCTAACTGGGAAAGACTGCCTTGGACACGGAGCAGGAGGATTTGAAGTCGCTGAGGATGGTGTTTCTAGAGCTCAAAAGTCAGGTTGGAGCTTCTTACAGTGCCCCTGTCTGGGCAACTGGCTATGGCACCAGGATATCAAGAGCTTGTATTAGAAACCAGCTTCAATTTTAAGGATTTTTTTTTTTGGGGGGGAGAGGTTTTTGCTATAGGGCGCGTGCGCTCGCCAGACAGACAAGAGAGACAGAGAGATAGAAAGCGAGAAATCACCCCCCAGGGGGGATGTTCACACCACAATCCCTTCTCCTCCATTCTCCTCTCGGAATCTTGGGCATGCACGCACATGCGCCCAGTGTGAGTTTTAAGCCACCGGGTCCAGGACGCAAACCGCGGTCAACTATGTGGGAGTCCAGTGACATAGCCATTATGCTAATTGTTGGTCGCAATTTTAAGGAATTTTGAAACTGGGAAAAGTTCTAGTCTCTTCTCTCCTCGGCTATGGCTATCTCTGGGTCATTGCAATTTTGGCTCCATTTTGGATTAGGGATTTAGTGGTAAACTCTGCAAACAATAATCTTTCATTCCTTACTCTCTGTTCCTTCCCTAGTTTTCTGACAATGTTTAATAGAATATAGTTATTATAACTTAAAATTGTCTTATTTTATCCATAAGAAAAATATTTTGGGTATATAGTTTCTACAAGATCTATTGAAAGGTATCTCATTTTCAAATTGCTTGAGGATATGTATGCTCACTGGAGAGAGAAACAGAGAGATAGAGAGCAGAAAATGAGAAAGTGCCCCCCATGGTGGATGGCCACACCACAATCCCTTCTACTCTCTTTCTCCATTTTGGGCACACGTGCATGCACAAATGAGTGGCATGTTTTTCAAGCTGTAGTATTTGGGACTCAAACCTATAGTTGGCCATGTGGGATCCAACTGCCATAACCAGCAGGCTACCAGCAGCCCCAAAATATATCCCATTTAATCACACCAGCATTATTCGAAAAGAATTAAATTATGACACTTAAATTTTCTACAAATGATATATGGTGATTCCAGGCAAAGATAGTTTTAGAAGGAGGTTTGGCCTAAAAGATGTGGATCCTGGCCTTAGATTGGCCATTTAATACTTTAGTACTTAGTTTGGCACTCACATTTGGACAAGTCTAATAGAAGTCTTGAATCATGTACACAGATATTTTGCTTGGTCACCACTATTTTCCCCCTCACTGTTGATTTTAAAAGCATTTAGGAGGGGTTTGCAACCTCTAGTTCCCAACAGACCCTAGCACTTTCTATTATCTTACATTCAGCAGATTTTCTCATTTGTGAGTATGCCAGATATACTAGAATTATTTGAGGTTGGGATCCCAGTTCCTGGACAGCCCTCAAGAGAGATAGGGAGAACAAAGAACAAGCACCGTGCAACCCCAGATAGTATTCCTTTTTGTTTGCTTCAGTTACCTCAGGGTCCATACCCTGAACTGATAACCCAAAAGCAATTAGGTCAGCTTTGTGGGGTTGATGCCATAGGGCTGGGGTGGCCCTGGGTTGTGTAAGCTGGGTTCTTGCAAGAGCCCTTGGCAGCAGTCTGCCCACAGTAAGCCTGCTCAGTAAAATCATATCAACTGGGTAGATATTACTGAAGATTGTATAGAAGGCAGGAGATTTATAGTGATCACTACTACACAGTAGTCAGAGACAACTCAGTCATCGTCATCCCCTAGAACTTCCTATCAGCTGTCAACCATCTTAGGTTCCTCTTCTCCTATCCCCCGTGTAGGGTCTTCAATCCAGTGCTCCTGGTTACTGATACCTGACCAAACCCCCCTGCTACAACCAATCTTCTGCCAATATCTATTTCTTCTTTCCTTTTTTAAATTAATTTTTAGAAGACCTTTTTTAAAATAATTATTTTGTTCATTTATTTATTTAAATTTGCTATGGAGCATGTGTGCTCACCAGAAAGAGAGAGAAAAAGGGAAAGTGAAAAAGCAAACCACCAGATCTGAGACTCAAAGTAGGATCAGCCATGTGGGAGTCCAGTGACCTAACTACCATGCCACCTGCTGGCCCTTTTCTTTCCTTTTTTTTTTTTTTTTTTGATATTTGTCCTAGGGTGCATGTGCTTGTAAAAAAAAACAAAAGACAAAGAGAAGGAGAGTGAAAGGGAGAGTGAGAAAATATTTTCCAATGGGGTATGGTCATGTCACAATCTCTTCTTCGTTCCTCCATCTGCTGGGACTTGGGGCATGCATGCACACATGCCCATTATGTTCTTCAAGTCACCAGAGTCAGGTGACCATGTGGGATCTAGCTACCTTTATCAGTGGGCCACGGGGGTAGCCTAATTTCTTTTCAGGATGGATAATTATTTAGTCTTCCCTTGCTTTTCCTTCTGGGGTGCTCACTTTGCCTAAGATGATCTTTGCTTAGGTTCTGTCCTCACAGAGCAGCTGTCTATGTATTGTCAATGATGAAGTTGAGCTTTTAAAATAATTATTTTCCCTCAGTTACTGGTTTTCCCTTTATTTTACTTCTACCTCAAAGCTATAGTAATATCATCAAAATTAGGTGAAAATAATGAATAGGCATATTTTGAAAATAAAATAGTAACAACATATTCAGGTTCTTGTTCCCCCATCAAATTATAGATTATGAATTCTACTTTTTTGCATAAAATGCTTCCCCCCACCCCTTTGGAACCTCTGAAGGTCTTCTCTGACTCGTGAGTTACTCTCCACGGGATTCATAACACCCTTAGCAAATATGCAGATTATTTTTCTGTTAAAGCATTGCTAGTCCATTTGAATTTTACAGCTTTAATTCCATTCAAAATATATTAGAAATTACATTTATTTAATTATTTTACTCCAGTGAGACTATTTCATCTTCGCTGATCTTTAATGAGCTAGGCAGTTGAGAGAATGGTTTCTGGCTCAGGGATTTCAGTTTTTTCCCCTTAAAACACATTATTGCTTTACCTCTTCATGAGCAGAGAGAACATTTCCAGAATTACAAATAAAAGCATTCAAGTAAGTGCTTGTTTGCTGGGTAAAGGATATGACTGAGTTTGTTACAAACATTTCTCATTTGTCAGGACATTTGGTAGGCTGCCTCTGTCTAGAACCTTTGCCTGTGACCTTTATATTCCTGGACATGAGTGATTAAAAAGCAAAGTAGTAAGGACTGAGTGGGGAAAAGTAACACAGAAAACAATATCTGAAGGCAGACTCTTGTTCCCATGCTTAGTATAACCATATAGACTTAAGCCATTCTGCATCAGGGAGTCCCCGTATCAAAAGCAGTGTGTCTAAAAAGGAACAATCCACACGGCGGAGTACGCAGTATTTTCAGTCATGTGGGCTTTCATCACATAGTAATGGCTCCTGGAATTTCACTATCATACTCCATTATGAATGGATGCAAGTTAGGTTATAAAGACCTGAAGTGCCTTGTGGTTGTCATGACTTGCTTGAGGATGAACTAACTCTTGATTACCTGTATTAAAGCCTTTAAACTTGCCAAGTGAAAAATAAATGGTGCCTGGTGATGATTGCTAGCCCTACCTTCTTCAAACCCTTGGATTTACATCATACTAACACATTGGGTGTCTACCAGACAAGGGGTGTTTCCTTATGTATAATCTAATTTGATCATTGCAATAAATACATAAGGAGCTGCTGTATCTCCATTTTGCCAATGAGATACCTGAGGTCAAATTTTGGTCTAAAAAATTTGCTATTCCTCTCTTTCTCTTACATTTTTTAAAGATTTATTTACTTGCATTTGTTGTTGTTATTATTTTTAAAAATTTGATGAGAGAGAGAGAGAGAGAGAGAGCAAGAAAGCAAGCCACCAGGTCTGGGACTCGAACTGTGATCAGCCATGTGGGAATCCAGTGTCTGTAACTACCACTCTACCTGGTGGCCCCTTTCCTTTACATTTTTTGTGGAGTCTATGGGGTGCTTAAATTACTTTAGTAGGTAGAGATTTTGCTGTTGTTTCTGGTTTGCAAGGTTGTCATAATGTAGTTATGGAACAACCTTGTAAAATCTGTTCTTTCTGATATCCATTACACATTCTTTGGTAGTCTATAAAATGCAGCTATAAAATACCTATTTGGTAGATACTCTATCACCAATTTGACCCCCAAGATTTTTCTGTTGCTTTGCCAAGAATGTGGACATGTTTGAGCATGTAGTTCATGATGTTTCTATTTTCAAAGAAGCCAAAAAAAGCCTTGTGCAAGAATAGCAGTGACAAACATTTCTCTTGATGTCTCTATTAATGCAAAATGTTGGGCAAGAGACCTCAGGGTAAGGTGCATGTTCAAATTAACATCTCTTTCTCTCTCTTTTTTTTTTTTTTTTTTGAGAGATTTTTGCTATAGGGCATGTGTGCTTGCCAGAAAGAGAGAGACAGAAAGCAAGAAATCATTCCCGGGGGGATGGCCCCTCCTCAATCCCTTTCTCCTCCATTCTCTTCTGGGGATCTTGGGCACTCATGCACACATGCCTGGTATGAGTTTAAGCCACTGGATTTGGGACTCAAATCGACTATGTGGGAGTCTAGCGAAATAGCCATTACACCAACTGCTGGTCTCATTAACATCTCTTTATAATATTCATTTGTGAGATGTGGGTGGGTCTTCACCTAGGGGCAGGTGGAAGGCTGATTATTACTTTTTAAAAATTTTCTGTGGATATCTGTGCTCACTAGAGAGAGAGACAGAGATAGATAGAGAGGACTCCCCTACCACCCCCCAGGGAAGACAGCTATGCCACAATCCCTTCTCCTCCATACTCCTCTCAAGATTTTAGTCATGCATGCGTGTATGCTTGGTATGTTTTTCAAGCAGCTGGGTCTGGGACTTGAACTATGCAGTTGGTTGCATGGTGTAAAGTCATTTTAACCACCACACCA